CCCAAAACCCCAAAACCCCAAAACCCCAAAACCCCTAGATTAATACTATTATTATTATAATTAATAGTCACTTATGGAATCAGAGAGAGCTTACACTTGAAATCATGCTGGAAAAGGATGCAAAAGAAAACCTCCCATTCCTTCGATAGATCAAACCTTAACAAAAGGGCTTTGTTCAGATAGATCTCAAAAATTAATAGCTTCTTCTAAGAATATTATTTATAGTGGAAAGATAGATAAAACACCTTTAAACTCAACGAGAAGTTATCACAAATAAGTCAAAGTCTGAAGCAAACTTTCAGGGAGTACTAAACTCCCTTCGAAATGAGACTCCACTAATAAAGCAAGGAGTTCTCACTAAAAGAAAGGAAGATACTCTAAAAAAAAGGTAAATTAGTTAACGAAAAATCACCCACAACGAGTAAAATTATTAAAGAAATCTCTGAAAAATATGAAACTAGGCTCTCCATGATGGAAATGGAGAATAAGCTTTTGAAAGAAAAACTTGAGCAGCAAATGGAAATAAACAAAGATATTAGGAATTTATTGCAGGTTCAGACACAAAGAATTGACTCTTTGATACCTCATATGAAAGAAAAGCCAGTTGATATCCAAAATGATGGCTATGAGTATAAATACGAACCAAAATCTAAACATCTGAATGAGGATATGAGATCAAAGATTGGAGGAGTAAAACTATTTAAGAAAAGAAGCCGAAATATGAGTTCTTCATTTGAGGAGCGAACTTGAATAAACAAAGACTCTTTACAAAATTATACTCATAAAGACTTTAAAAGACATGGCGATCGAATTTTATTAACTACTCAACACGTGGAGACTCTTAAATCAGAATATACTCCTCGAATAAATAATTTTGAGAAATTAGCAAAATTTAATAATGCTTCAAGTAAAGCCAGACAAGATCTAAGCATCTTAGAACTAGTACCTGATCTACAAGGATCTCAGATTGATAGAATCTCAGAAACAGTTCTGACTGATAATGAAAGAGACTTTACTGAAGTTATTTATACACAAGAAACTACTAATACGCCTTCACGAATTCAGAAGGATGTAGATACTTTGCAGATTCCTGGAAGTAAGATTAAAATATTTTAGCAACTTGATTTTGCGGCAATTCTTCAAAAGTATTCTCATTTAAAAGTACTAAAAGGTCTAAAGTTAATTTAGATGCAAAGAAGGGCAAAAGTCTTTTAGTTCCCTCTGCAAGCAATAAAGATTATGACATATTTTTTGTTCCAAAATCGAGTCCTACTAACAAGCTAGAAGTCAAAGAAGAACTTAAGAAATATGGAGGGAGTTTTAATGAAAATATATTGGATTGTAAGTCAGTTATTAGATTAAGGATTTACGTTTCTAGGATCCAGAAATTCACAAAATATTAGAAGCAATAGAAGCTACAGTAATCTTCCAGAAGACCATAAGCCTCAGAAAGACAAAGATGTATTATTTTCAGTATGGATGGATGATAGCAAAGCTTCTTCATGAATGCTTTGAGGCTCAGACTTTTGGCTTCTCTCAAGAAAACACCATTGAAGAGTCTGTGGTAAAATTTTCTGTGGAAGCTGAAGTAAATATCTAATAATAATCAACGGTAAGAAATGTAGAGCATGTAAATTTTGTAAGGAGAACTATGAACATGAGCACCAATAATAATAAAACTCCGCTTAATTTTTCAATTTTCACCTAAATTCTGGGGTTTTGGGGTTTTGGGGTTTTGGGGTTTTGGGG